CGCAACAACCCAGAGGGGAAGTTGGCGTTTGCATGGTCGGCGGATGGCTTCGCCCTCCCCCGCCCCCCCCGGCGGTTCCCGGCTCGGGGCGCAGGGGGGCGAGGGGACTCCACCCGAGCGGCTCCCTGGCCGGTGCTTTGGCCAAGGAGGGTATGGGGGGGAGAGATGCGCCGCTTGCAAGGCCGGGCGCGCCCCGGGAGGACGGGCCGGGGGACAGGGTCGAGGGAGGAAGGCGCTGAAAAAGGCAGATGGCGGGCAAGAGGGCGGACGGGATTTCCCTGGGGCCGCTCTTTCTTTCGGCCCCCCCCCCCGCCGCCCCCTCGGGGGGAGCATCATGCGCCCGGAAGCGCGAACGAAGGCGCATGGAGGGGGCGGACACGCACGGCCGGGAGATAGGGCCCGGCCTGCCAAGGGGCTCTGCCGGCGTCCCAGAGGGGAAGGCCGTTTGGCCGGCGGGAGGGCATCGTGATCGGGCCCCCTGCGGTGCTCAGGCGTTGCCAGTGTCCTGTGACTGCCGGAGGTGCCAGCGCGCCGGGCATCACTGAGACCCCCGGGCCCCCGGGGCGGCCGCGGGGGAGGGGCCGCCGGAGGAGGCTGACCGGCCCCGTTGCTGCGGCCCTTCCGCGGCGCCGTTTCAGAACCCGGGTGGATTGGGCAGTGGCCGGAAAAGAACAGCCCAACGTGCGAGCTGCAAATGGCGCGGCCGCGCACTTTTCGTGCTTGCGTTATGTGGGTGCGCGTACGACGGGCGCGCGCCGCCCCCTCCCCGGGCGGCGGCCCCCCTGGCCCGCAGCTGCCTCGATATTTGGATGTGTTTGTGCAGGCGTGTGCGTGTATATATTTTTATATGTGTGTGTGTGTGTGCATGCGCGTGTACGGGATCCCGCCCCCGCGGGGGGGGGGGGAGGAGGAGCTGGGCGAATGGGCGATCACGATGAGTGTTCTTGACTACCAGCTTCCCCCGGCTTGCCGGCAGGCGGCGTCTTGCGGCGGCCTTCCATCGTGCGGCCCCGCCGCCCCCCGCCCCCGGGCGTGCATGCTCGGGCCGTTACCCGCCCCGCCCGACCGGCCGGACGGCTCAGCCCCGGCGCTCTGGCCGCCGGCCCTGCGCGGCGCCTGGCGGCGGCCAACATTGCCGGGTGGTGGGTCCCTGTGCGGTTCCCCCCCCCCCCCCTCCCCCTTGAGGCGCGCGGCGCCCCCGAGCCTGGACCGGGCTGGAATGTGGCGCCCTCCGTGCGGCCGGCACCGGCGGGCGGAAATCAGCCGGTCTTATTTATTGCCTGACGGCCGTCCCCTCGGCGGGACGACCGGGGAAGCCGCCCGCCCCGCCCCGGGGGCCGCCGGCGGGGGAGAAGGGGTCGCGGAAGCTGCCGCCCCGGACCATTCGCCGCCGCTCCTGCTTCTGGGGGGCGGGGGGCAGCGGTGGCGCGGAAGGCGGCGGCAGGGCATCCGGCGCCGCAGGGCCCGGAGCGCCGGCGGTCACAGTGGGGCCGGGCGTTTCCGTTCAACGCCGGCTTGCGCCGCGCGTCCCGGCCGATCCCGCATCCCTCTGGGATACCCATGTCAAGGGGGGGGGGCGGAGGGGCACACCGCGGCCCTCCCTCGGTCAAGCGCCCGGGCTGGTGGCGGGGCCGGGCGCGTTCAGACCGAGTCCCGACCCGGCAGCCAGACGCACCGTCGGCCGCCCGGGGGGGGGGGGGGGGGGGGGCGGGGGCAGGGACGCCGGGCCCCCTCTGCACCATGGCGCCGGCGGGGAGGCAGCAGGAGTGATGTCAGCAGGAAATCTGCCAGCCCGGGCGGGGCGGGCTGCTGCGGTCCATGTGAACAAACTCCAGCGTG